GACTTGAAAAAATCCAAGTCATTGAGTGGTCGTGAGACTTCCGAGTACCAAGGTGCAGTAGCATATGGAAGGAGTCCCCCAAGTCTCCGGTTGAGGGAGTTGACGAAGGAGGTGTCTTGCTAGTAGCCAAGTTTCCAAAGTAACAAAACTTCACCATTTTCCTTTCTAAGTGGTAGCCCAAAACTCTTCATTCATATATATTTGTTAAGAAAGAGGAGGCCTAGACTTTTTTTTTTTTTTTTTTATTTTTATTTTCAAATTTTTGAATTTCCGAATTTCTAAATTTTTGAATTTTCGAATTTTTGAATTTTCAAATTTCCAATATATATATTTAAGCTTTATAGGTGAAGCTTTATAGGTGAAGCTTTGTAGGTGAAGCTTTGAGATTGAAGCTTTGTTGGGTACCATGAATTAATTTTGCTTCACACTATCTTGATCAAGATAGTGGGAAGTGAAGCTTTTGTAGGTGAAGCTTTTGTGGGTGAAGCTTTTGTGGTGGGTGAAGCTTTTATGGGTGAAGCTTTTGTAGGTGAAGCTTTTGTGGTGGGGGAAGCTTTTGTGGGTGAAGCTTTTGTTGGTGAAGCTTTTGTGGTGGGGGAAGCTTTTGTGGGTAACATTTTTGTTGGTGAAGCTTTTGTAGGTGAAGCTTTTGTTGGGTACCATGAATTGATTTTGCTTCACACTATCTTGATCAAGATAGTGTGAAGCTTTTGAGAATTTGTAGTTGTCCTTCATTGATGAAGCTTTTGTTGGTGAAACTTTTGTGGTGAAGCTTTGTTGGGTACCATGAATTGATTTTGCTTCACACTATCTTGATCAAGATAGTATGAAACTTTTGAGAATTTGTAGTTGTCCTCCATTGATGAAGCTTTGTTGAATTTCCCAATTTCCCTCTTTTTTTTTGGGAAACTAGAAATTTGAAAATGTGGGAGAGACAACATATACAAATTTTGCTTCCACACTATTGAGCAAGAGATTGTGATGCAAGCCACACCTTGTAGTAGTCGAAGGTTTGGATGAACCATATAAATTGAATTTGCTTCGAACATTCTTGATCAAGAGTGTGTGAAGCTTTCTACGAGTTGTAGTTGCCCTTCATTGATGAAGCTTTTGTTGGCATCATAAATTGGTTTTGCTTCACACTGTCTTGATTAAGAGTGTGTGAAGCTTTTGAGAATTGTGGTTGAACTCCTTTGATGAAGCTCTTGTTGGCACCATAAATTGGTTTTGCTTCACACTGTCTTAATCAAGAATGTGTGAAGCTTTTGAGAATTGTGGTTGCCCTCCATTGATGAAGCTCTTGTTGGCACCATAAATTAGTTTTGCTTCACACTGTCTAGATCAAGAGTGTGTGAAGCTTTTGAGAATTGTGGTTGCTCTCCATTGATGAAGTTCTTGTTGGCACCATAAATTTGTTTTGCTTCACACTATCTTGATCAAGAGTGTGCGAAGCTTTTGAGAATTGTGGTTGCCCTCCATTGATGAAGCTCTTGTTGGCACTATAAATTGGTTTTGCTTCACACTGTCTTGATCAAGAGTGTGTGAATCTTTTGAGAATTGTGGTTAAACTTCTTTGATGAAGCTCTTGTTGGCACCATAAATTGGTTTTGCTTCACACTGTCTTGATCAAGAGTGTGTGAAGCTTTTGAGAATTGTGGTTGCCATCCATTGATAAAGCTCTTGTTGGCACCATAAATTGGTTTTGCTTCACACTGTCTTGATCAAGAGTGTGTGAAGCTTTCTACGAGTTGTAGTGTTTGCATTGTTACAAAGGAGAAAAATCTGAAGAAGATGCAAGATGGCTTAATAGCTTGATCTTCGTATGCCATGCACTGAAGTTGTTGTTGGCTTGCAATAAGACTTTGTTGGTGACTATAACTCTTGTTGGGCATAAGTGCTCCCCTAGTTGAGTTATCAAGCTTGAGGGTTTTTTATTATTTGTGAATGTTAGGAGTTCACATGTACAAGTTGTAACACTCGTCTTTTAGTAGGTGGAATGAATGGTGAGTTGCTTTCATCACTTGGTTGGTGGTACGAATGTGAGTTCCTTCATCACCTTTCATTATATTTCATCACCTGGTTGGTGGCACGAGGATGAGTTCCTTCTTCAAGTATGGTATAAATAGCCACGTTAGCTATTAAATTAACATTTGACATTTATCTTTTGACATTTCCATTCAAGATGCTCTAATTTTATTATTAGTCTTGTTTAATTAACCTATCATATTTGGTTGTGAACCCTTTTATTAAGATAAAACAAACCTTATACCACAAGTTAATTTTTGGCCCTTGAACTCTAATAATAGTTGCTTCCATCCTCGATGTTACACATTTTGGTCCTTTTTGTTTACTCGGTCAAATTGAAATTGCGTTCATAATCTTAAGAGCATAATATGAAACATGTTTGGAATTGATGTTTTCTAACTTCTCCCTAAATTTTAACATAGGTGCTCATTTGTGAAGCACATTGGAGATGCTCAAGGAAGTGCAAAAATTCTAGTATAGATCGACTCTAAACATAGAATGAGAGAATGAACGTCTGAATGTAAGGCCAATAAATCAAAAGTGCTAGCGATCAAACGGTCATATATACTATGCTCCAATTCATACTAGAAAAATTGAAACAAGTGACAGAGAAAATGATATATGTAGTTGGACATTTAATAAATTAAAATTATAGAGTTTGCTTTCACACTGACATATGTAGTTTTGATTATTCAATGCTCCCTTTCACTTGGCTCCATATGGAAAAGCAAAAGCAACTTTTGCCATATAGGCCCATGGCTAGTTAGGCTTTATCACGACACTCAGTAGTCAATACTCGATAGGCTTTGTCCCTCCATTGAGAACAATCATTGTGCTAAAACCCTATGTGCCACCAAATTGGGGGAGTGCAGGCTGCAGAGCTCAGCTACTTATGATCATCTCTTTATTTCTTACACTTTTATTCCAAGGGGAAAGTCCCATTCCTTCTGGTATTTGCCCCATGCTTTGACCAAGCAACATGTTCAAGCAGTGATGAAATCAGAATTTTCAAATAATAGAGTTGTAGTATCAGCCAAAAATAAAATTATTGGGCCATTTGTCTAGCACTTTATAGGTAGCTAACAATTATTATCAACATGTGCCGAAGGTTTATTCTATAATGTCGAAAACTATTATTATTTGTAGAGACTTGTCGATGATGGATACATGATATTGTGGAGTAATGTTAAAAATTATCAAGGTTTTTCAACTAAAATATTTAATCAAGCAAATGATGCGCACAATAGAGTCGCACACAAGAAAAGAGAAAATGAAGACAAATATGATAGAAGAAAATAAAAGAAGTAGGAGAATGATATTGTAATTTAGTTTGCATTAGTTGTTTATAGGGGTTCAATACAATACATAAACAAATACACATGGGGATTTTGAAGTTGATAGGGTCAAAGACAACTAATGACTCCATAGTGGCTCTGTCACTGTATCCAAGACATTTTTACAAGAAGAATGAATGTTAGCAAGGTCACCCTTTTCATTATGTAATGTTCTATGATAACTCAAATTGTTTATCTTTAAGGTCACCATTTGACAATTATTCTACAAAAAATTAATCAAATACGAAATCGTTTAGCTATTTGATGCTTATCCAATAAATAAATAGACCATGCATGTTATTGAATCAATGCTAAAATTTTGATGGCATTAATTGAATTTTTCAAATATTTTAGTTTTGTGCGTGAACTAAAAAAGAAACAATTATAATCATCGTGCAATATTATAGAAAAAAAGGAAAAAAAAAAAAGTAGAACAAGAATGTACTACTGAGATAGCATCCCACTCATAAAAAGCTTCACATAAATTGATGTGGCGGGAACGCTGGATAGCAAATTGTCATGAAATTAGGATCACATGCTTCACAGAAAATAAGTCTTTCATGAAATTAGGATTACATGCTTCACAGAAAATAAGTCATATTTGGGAAAACAAAATCCTATTGAGTCAGTCTTATTTTGGCATGCTACGTTGTTAGTCCCTGAAGCTGAATTACAAAACCGAATCAAATTCATTTGACTAAGAACGAAGATCGACATAATCTAATAACATAACATGTCAAATTGTCTATCAAGAAAATCTCTGCCGTCATCGACAAACGCATCTTGCAGAGTAAATTTATGCATTTTCTCATGTCCATGATTTACAGATTGATAGTGTGATATTATTAGACTAAAACTCGTCGACATACATTATATAACAGATGTTAGGATTATATTACGTTTACTAGTACAACTAGCACTAATTCGACCGTAAAAAGACATTGGTACCCTCATCGTCATATTGAAAACTTGGAATCTACTCCAACATCACTAGCTTCATTGCCAGTGCCACTAGGACAATATATTGGCCTCAAATTTCTATCAAGGTAAATGGTCAAGCTGGAAATAATAGATAGGAATAACTGATATTCTAATGTCGTTTAAAACCTTACGATCAAATGACTTGCCTAAACCAGATGTCAATGTGGACGGTATCCCAAACAATTGACGCATATGGCAGTGAAATATTGATATGAAATACTGCCATAGTGATAGATCCAGAAATGTTTCCTCATAGGTGAAAGCCTGGTTGCTCTTGCTCCATTTGAGGGAAGAACGCAATTTTTTCACTATTTAAATGTATGAGCTCGAACATCACCTTGCAACGTTACCTGAACGTAAGTTTTCAATAATTTGTTCAAAAAAAAAAAAAAGAGTCTTCAATAATGTGCAATTCTCAAAAACTTAACTTACTCTGATGTTAAACAATGTGTGCAAGCACTGACATTGTTTGAAATCATGGATGAAACTGAGAAGACCGGATCGCTTGATAAATCATAAACTCGTACAAAACCTTAGGGAACGCCTCAGTAAATATTTAGTGTAAATTGTAAAATAGCAATGTAATACTTCTCATTTATAAAAAAGAAAAACCGAAAATCAAAACTCAGTTTCCGAATGAAGATGACAAAATTGCCAAAAGCCCAATCACAACTATGATATTTAGGAAAAAGTTACTGTAGAGGCTTATCTGGGCTTCCACCAACAGCTTGATACTCCGCCCGAATTTCTGCTTCATATTATCTGACAGCTCTCTCTGCAATTCACAGTCACAGAGGTATTACTATTGAATTTATTCCTTTCCTCTTCATTTAAGAATCCCGACTATTACACTTGAGTATTGAAAATAGCTTCATCTTGTACTGTTAAAGCAGATAGCCCAACAAAGCTTGATACTTGCTTTTTACTCGTGCAGAAAGCCATACGAATAAAGACCATGAAAATTTTGTACGGAAAAAGTTTCCCCCCAGATTTGTCATCATTCCTCACAGATGCAAGGGATTTGTTAATTATTGATCAAAAGATTATTGATTAAGAGGTGTGGGAGTTCCGCGTTTACAACCTTGCCAGACGAGTATTTGGCTGCCACAAACTTTTCTGGTATAGGCTGCAAAGGACCATCATCGATCACAATACCCTGATCATCATATTTAATAATCAGTCTCAAGGTTAATAGGCAAAACAACACCGGAGGACCTTTGCACGAAAATCGAAGCAGGAATAAGTTTTCATACAGTAAGCATTAACATGCATTATTCACAGGGGATTGCTAATCCATAACAGAATCAACATATGAAACTTTGAAAGTTAGCAAACCTCTGGAGGGTCAAGTTTGGCCCCCAGGTTGCTGAGTTTAGCATGAGCTTCAGCATAATCCTTGAAGAAGGCTTCTTGGTCTTCAGTATATTTCTCAGCATATACCTGCAAAATTTCCATGTAACACAGGATACGCATAGAACATCATCACTCTCAATTATGTTTTGTTTTACCTTGAATGCTGGATCTTCAAAAATAGCTGCATCAGTTGGCAACACCGGTAGATCTTCATCCCTCTTTTCCTTGATATCCTGTAGAGAAAACCCGTCGTGAGTAAAGGAAAACCTTGTACCAACTCCCACCAGCCTCCTATTGGAGTGTGAGAATTCACACCCAAATAAGGGGATACTATTTGAATACCTTGAAGTAGGAATTATCAAACTTCAACCATTGTGCTGTCCAAGATTGTCCTCCTGGTGCCCCTGGCCCGTCTTTCTGCCATGAACATAATGCTAGTTAACTTTCTAGCTATTGTGGTGAAATTATTCTTGTTCTCCTTAAAATATTTATCGTTGGCTTGTAGGTGCGAGCCGCCACCACTAAATAACCACATGGCTAAAGATATCATGTTTGACATTAACCTTAATCAAGTCAGTAAGCTCATGTTCTGGTTGTTCAATCTCAAAACCTCGAGTGATAGATGGAACGGAAAATATCTTAAATAAGCCACTTGACAGTCGCAAATTCTTTTCTGTTAAGTGTGGTTTAAGTGAATACGAGATTCTGAGTCAATAACAACAACAACAACAACAACAAAGCCTTTTCCCACTAAGTGGGGTCGGCTATATGAATCCTAGAATGCCATTGCGCTCGGTTTTGTGTCATGTCCTCCATTAGATCCAAGTACTCTAAGTCTTTTCTTAGAGTCTCTTCCAAAGTTGTCCTAGGTCTTCCTCTACCCCTTCGGCCCTGAACCTCTGTCCCGTAGTCACATCTTCGAACCGGAGCGTCAGTCGGCCTTCTTTGCACATGTTCAAAATCACCGGAGCCGATTTTCTCTCATATTTCCTACAATTTCGGCTACTCCTACTTTACCTCGGATATCCTCATTCCCAATCTTATCCTTTCTCGTGTGCCCACACATCCCACGAAGCATCCTCATCTCCGCTACACCCATTTTGTGTACGTGTTGATGCTTCACCACCCAACATTCTGTGCCATACAACATCGCTAGCCTTATTGCCGTCCTATAAAATTTTCCCTTGAGATTCTGAGTCAATACCGTGTAATTTTCTCTGGCTTGCCCTAACCACGGTGATCAGGTCTGGACCTCCCCAGAGTGTGTGCCCCAGACAATGCAACTATTTCCTACATATCAAACAGGTTCATTAGTAACCATCACATGCACATTGTTATGTCCAGAAACCAAGTTTACATCACTTAAAAGTCACCTTGTCATTCAACCCCATTCGGTAGAAAACCTGACGTAGATGATCAGCAGGCGAAGGAGGGCCAGCATCTAAACAAGCCGAGACAAATATTTCAAAATGAATTGAGCAAATTGAAGAGCAAAATCGTATATGGTCTTCACCAAAATAATTCCAAATTCCATGTTTATCTTGAATACCATTATAGAAAAATATGCATGGTTTACTAACCAGGAAGCCTCCCTTCTTCTGGGCACTGCCTCCTGAAAAACGAAACGATCTCAATCAGTTAAATGAATTTGTTATAAATGTACAAATTTTGTTCATACGAATGTTAGAGGAAGACTAAGAATCACCTCCACCGCAGTAGCACTGGCCAATTGGAACAAGTCGGCGTATGAGACACCAGGGTACTTGCCTATTATCGGCTGAACGAGCTTCAATGCATTCACAAAACCTAAATTTGAGAAATGTAAGCTCATTATCATTGTGTTGACCCTAAAAACTACCAAGCCTACGTGGCGCGCAGGCCGAGTAATTAATAAGCTAACTACGTCCTTTGGTTGTGTGCGGGGGGTGCCAACTCATCGGCCGAGCTTGGCCGGGGTGTAAAATGTGTTGATGTCGCGTTGGGCGCGCTGTTGACTTCTTGATCTTACGACTGCGGTCGAGGAAGGAAACGTCTCGGCCTTCGGGTTCTAGAGCCTGAAGACAAGGCTGCTAGTCTTGCGAAGTTCACGGATCGTCGGTGCTGGGTTCGGTCACGGTGATTATATTCGTAAGAGTATAAGCACGCCGAACCGGTACCAAACTATACGGACACAAGTACTCAAAAGAGATGTATGTCTTAATGGTAAACATGGTTTGGCCGTCAGAATGCTGAACTCTAAAACTTGTGTATATCCAATCATAAAACAACTCGGCGTTCAATGAGCTGAGCCTAGTAATTTGTAACACCTAACTTTGCCGAGAAGGCTAATGAGATGACCTCTACCAATAAGAACTCGAAAATCCTTCTTGGCCGAGACTTGGATAGATAACCAGCCGGCCTCGACGCAGTGCTGTTTATCCAAACTGAAGGTGCTCCAGGGTCGGCTGATTCTACAGCAACAATGTTGTTTATCCAAACTGAAGATGTCACTGGTTGCCTTCATAGTGCTGTTTATCCAAACTGAAGATGTGTTGACGGAAAAAGAAAATAAAAATCTCAAGATGTTTAAGAGGTTTCGCGTAGAGCGAGGGTTTGCGCATGGCAGTTTATGTGTTGAATTCGAGGGGGTTTGAATGATACACTCCCCTCTATATATATAGTAGCGAACCTATTCCTGGCCGAACAAGATGTACTCGGACTAAAACTCCCAAATCTGATCTGATAAGGATTCGGCCAATCCTAGTTCTGATAGGTTTATGAATCAAGCTCTATAATGAGTTAGGTTCACTCCCGAGTTCCTAATGCCTTCAACCCTGGAACCCCCTTGTTGTACCAAGACTCAACTTTTTCGCTCTTATCCCAATCAATCCTTCCTGCAATAGGACTTGACCAACCTGATTGGCGATTTATGCCAGCCTAGACGGTTCATAATATTTCCGGAAGAGCATTGGACCGAACACAAACCTAAGCTCGACCCAATAATGTTATTTTGGGCCCAAACATTGCCCCATCGCTTCTGAGGTCTTCGACCTAAAACTCCTTAGCCGAGTTTTGACCTTGAAGAAGTGAAATTAAACCTTTAAGTATCTTTAAAAACAATGACAAGTCTCGAATATCCCATCCACCAGGCGCATTTATGAAGCACGATTGGACGATCTTAAATTTGTCAGACATCCTGCCATGTGGCATCTCCTTGGCATGTTTGTCTTCACTTGACATTGAAACGCCTTCTCAAAACTGAACTCCCTACCACACGCCATCATTATAACCTTGATCCGTGAATTTTTGATCTTTTTGAGACGTGTAGACACTCAAACGTCTCTTCACCATTGAGCTCGCCATCATACGTCATCGTGCAGTCTCGATCTACAAGTTTTTTGATCCCTTTATTTGGATTTTAACTATTCATCATGATTACTAATCCCTCGATCAATCTTATCCCTTATTTTAAATACTAAACCTTTGGATCTTCCCCTAAAACGCCTATAAATACTCAACTCTCTTCATTCAACCTTTTACGCTTTCAGAACCCTTAAATCCCCTTGCCATTCTCTCTCAAATCTCTTCGCCATTTTCTCTTGAAAACCAGAAAAACAGCCTCCAATACTCATAAAACTTTCATCTCCAATGGCTACCAATACTTTCATTAACAAGTTGATCGAGGAGTGCAGCAAATGTCAAAATATCACCGACCGAAACACGATCAAAACCATCCGGTTTGAAGATGAGCCAAATGTCTCCTACCAAACCCTAGGCCCATTGTTTAAGGACAATGTTCCAGAAGCAATCATCGAAATGCTTAAGGAGCACTGCCTAAAACCTTTATTCCAAGGGTATGACTGGTCGAAATGGGAATCGGCTAAACCCCAGGGTGTTTGGCCCTTGACCACGACGGCCTGAGTTGCCTGGGTTACTCGGATGAAGCCATATTTTGGCGGCGAATGGAATGCTCTCGGCATCTTTGACGCCATCAAACTCTTGACCATTGAGATGAACTTGGATTGAGAGCTCGTGATGGCCACATTAAGCTTTTGGTGCTCGGCCAACAACACGATGATTCTCCCCTTCGGCCCCCTTGGCCCAACGGTTTTAGACATGACCGCCATACTTGGCACCCCTTTATCCGACATTTCGGTATACATCTCTCTCATCGGGTAAAAATTCAGTTCAAACCTAAAGACAATTTTTGAGGAACGTGCCGTCAAAGTTATGATGAAAGGAGATCAAAGGCCGTCAAAAGAAGAAGTACAAAAATTGTACAGAAACTTTTTCAATTACAACACTTTGATGACCCACTTCGCCGGCTCAGAGGGGGAAAACCCCACGAAAGGAGAACATGAGGCTTTCTTACTCTACTGGTACAACAAATATCTTTTTTATGCCAAGTCGAATAAGTGCTTGGCCGAGAACATATCGGTCCCCGATGCCCTGGCTAGCGGTCACATCCTGGCTTTCAGTCCAGCTGTCCTTGCCAACCTTACTAGGTGTTTGGCATAAGCAATCTTGGGGAAAATCGACCCCCATCAAAATGACCCACTTTGGGTCTTCCAGCTCTGGCTGCAAGTCTACTTCTTGACTTTGCGGCCTAAAATCCTAGGGTTTAGTTCTTCCAAAATTATGGGTCTGGAGTTAGCTTTGCGCCCTATCCCTACTCATTTGGCCGAAGAAATTTTCAAATACTTCTTCAGCTTAGAAGATTTGTTCGACGACGAATTGGGTCATTCATCATGACTTGTGACATACCTTATGGTTGCGAAGCTCAGTGAGGTAGTTGGGAGGTCTACCATCCCAATTTCCTAGCTCGTCAACTGGGCTATCTTCAAGGGTGCCCTCTGCCATTCATTTCATCTCGCTCCCTTTTAAGACGAGAACGCTTTCCTGGTTCCTTGAAAAAAGAATGTGAAACAACCAAGAAGAAGTTTACAGATCGGCTCACCAAATTCCGCATTCGGCCAAGAAACTTAAAATCTCGGTGTGCCAACACCTTCGTTAAGTGGTAGGAGGCTTATACCAAGGACTTCTTTCACACGTCAGTCGAAGAAATCTTCAAAAAACTTTTTGACGGTCGCCTGAAGAAAGTTTTTGCTTTAAAATCCAAAGAAGTGGCCCAAGGTATATACCTTCTACTTTCCTTGTTCATTTATATTCGTTCAAGCTTTAACTTATCCTGAGTTCAATGTTTCTAGGTAGCCGTACCATCAAGAGGGTCGAGGTAGTGGCGATGGCTGCATCTAAAAAGAAACTTGCCCCTCATTCAAAAAGGGTGGAGGCTGCTGTGCCGACTCTGTCGAGTAAACTTTATGCCCGGAAGCCGAAACGGCGTGAGACGCTTCCCGACCCAAAAAACACGTTAAGAAATTGGCTAAAAAAGAGGAGTGGGAGGTTCACGTTATCTCCAGTCAATCTACAGGGGCAACTGCTCCTAGCGTTTCTCTCCCTCCTTCTGTCGTCGA